AGAAGCACTTTTATGCTTGTGGAGCAACCACCATGCCATAGATTTCCCCAAGAGATTTTGAAAGTGCATAAAAGTGGAAGAATTTCTTTTTGAGACTTTTGAGATTATAGTACATACAGTATATACTTTCATATTCCAGGTTATTAATTAATTTGTCCCAACATTCAAAAATAAGTACATTCATGGGTAATACTTGCACTAGGCAAGGGTGTCAAACTCAAGGCCTGCAGGCTGAATTTGGCCCATGGGGCCTGAATGAATTGTTTTCTGCAAAAGCCTACTTCCCTTACGCTCTTCTTTTATTTCCTATGGGAGGGGCCATTCACCGTCCACCTGTGACTTTACTTCCAATTCAACCCTGATTTCTTGGCTGTTCTTTTCTTCTAGCAGCTCTGCACATGCACACATTGGGAACAGACTCCAGCTGTTCCTCTGCCTCACTGCTGTGTAGCTCTGAAGGCAACTGAGAACTGCCGAACGGCCTTGGCCTCATCTCTGCCTCTGACGCAGAGCCCTCGTCCGAGCCTTCCTCAACCTCCAGGGTTGACCATGCTCCTCCCCAAACTCTTCACAGTCTGTCTCTGCTGCTGGCGGGTCACAACACCTGTGAACTACTTGTAGGCATATTGCTTGAATGATTTTGACTGAGGTAGAACCCCATCAATATTGAGACAATGAATGAAACTGATTTCAGGGCATCTTGCATACCATTAAACTGCTTCTATAATAAATAAATTGTGGACCTCATGCTCTCTGAAGTGAACCTCTCTATTCCATTTTTTGCTGGAAACTTGCAGCAATGTCTCCTTTTGTTTGCTGAAAGAACCAGTGTCAGGATGTAAAGGAAGAACACTGTTTGAAAAATATAGGAATGCTCAGTCTGTGCTAATGCAAAAACCAGTAACTTCTCTCCATCTCTCCCTGTATTTTCTTTCTCCGATTAAAAACACAGATTCCATTCTTACAACAGTTACTAAAGATATCACTGCCTACCACACAGTATTCCTCACGGCGATATTAGGAGGCACTATCACCATCATTGCTGGGTTCTTTGCACTTCTGCTTTGCTATTGCAGGTAAGACAGGATATGATGGTAATGCATCCCGCCCACACACACATAATTGATTATAGTATACATTGTTTGAAAGCATAGAATTAGTGCTCATGTTAATTCTGCTTTTGAAAGATAATTGATTTACAATTTGTGTCCACTTTCTACGCCTAAAGGAAATGCTAATTCACCCTACATGTTCTGTAATACGCTTCTTTTATACTGTTTTTGAAGAATCCTGACGAATGTGCAATTAAGATAGATGATAGATAGATAGATAGATAGATAGATAGATAGATAGATAGATAGATAGATAGATAGATAGATAGATAGATAGATAGATAGATANGAGGACTTACAACCATTCCTTGGAGTTCCAGCCATTGCAGCATCCCCATGGTCACAAGATTGCAGGCCAGGTGCCCAGTGCCTGGCTTGCAGTTATGACGTTGCAGGGTGCCCACAGTCACATGATTATGGTTTCTGACATTCCCTGCTGGTTTTCCCACAAGCAAAAATCAATGGCAAAAGCCAGCATGTTTCAAATCATTCTTGCTCCCACTGCTTTTTCACCAGCTTGCTCTCTATAACACCTGTGGCACCTCCCATCAATTGTGGCACCCGTACCCCCATGTGTGCTCTGTAATACCCACCTGTGGCACCAGTCCATGTGCTGGCCTAGGTGTCCACCTGTACTCCATAGTGCCTCCCTGCAGGGCCCTCCATTGCACCTACACACCTGTCCCCACTTCCTTAGCACTTGCCTGTGACAGCTCCCTCACTTGTTCATAGCTCTCTCCTGCAGCCCTCACCTATTGGCTTCTTTGCCTGGAACTCCCACCTCTTCCTGCTTAACAACTTGTGCTGTCTTAAGGGTACAACAGCAACCTAGACTGCTAAGGTTGATGTTGCTAAACCATGAAGTTTGTGTGATGTCACACTTTATGACCACATTGCTTAGCAACCCAAATTCTTATCCCAATTGCTGTTGTAACCCCAAAAAGCATGAAACAGATTCCTGGTCCTGACAAAACCTCTTTCATTAAAAGCATGTGAATTCTTCTCATTTCACATTCAGCAAAGGCCTAGTAAACAGTCTTTCAAAGGTGAAGTTATGACCACAGACCTTATCTAGCTTGGAAAGCTGCCATGTAAATATTTTCCACACTCGGTGCTATGCAAGGAAAGACTTGCCCCAGAATCTCTGAGATTCACGGACAGATCTTCACACTCCTGAAATGAATGAATGAACGAATGAATTGTTTTCTTTTTATTTTTATTTTTTAGAAAGTATTTATTTATTTATTGCAATGTTTATTCAGTTGTATACCTGTTCAGTCTAAAAAGATATTAAGCACCATGCACTAACGCCAGAAACAATGCCA